GGGGGGGGGGGAAGTAACTGTCCACAAGGCTGTTGCTCAAGGGAAGCTAGCGTAGGCTTCTCTGCCTTGGGGAGTGGGGTAAGGGAGGCCTCTAAGGACAAGCAGTCAACCTGAAACCTAAGCCATCTCGGGATCTGGAGAAACTGAAAGGGTCAAAAAATCACAGCTTGTTTCACTTTGGGCCTGATGAGGGCTGGGGCCTCCAGCGGGTTCCAGGGCACTTCTCACTGTGCTGGGGGTGGAAGCGGTAGAGGTGGGGTGGGATCGCGTGGGGGAAGGGGGTGTCCACCCTATACCTTTAACTTATTCTTTGACCTTGAGAGCAGGCTGCCACAGCCGAAGCTGGGCCTTGGCCAAGGGCAACATGGCCAAGTTCCCGGGGGTAGCAACAACAGGAAGCTCGTACTGCCAGTCTGCCCCACCCCCAGCGGCTTCCTGCCCTGAAAGGCATCTCCCTCCCAGATTCCTGGTCACACTGAGCCTGAGCACCACGCCCAAGAGAGGACACTCAGGTGCCCCTTCCTTGACGTCCCTAGCTTTCACTCTCTTCACACCTGGAAGTTTCTTCTAATTTTATCTCACTTTTTCTAACTCAACTTACTTGCCTTTGCCCTGTCTGTATCCAAGCTGAAGAATTACACGCCAACCTCTGTTCCATTCTTACCCCCTCCAGACCCAGTCCATCCCTCTACCTTCTCAGGAATATTCTGCTCCCTTCCTGCCTCTCTTCTATCTTCTTCCCACTACTCCAGAAGACCATACTCTACAAGGGGGATTTAGTCTCTTTTGAGCCACAGCCCCTGTTAGTAGTCCAGCAATGCAGGAATGTTGATAAATGCATAAAATACATAAGAAATAATTATATTGAAAGTTTATTATTTATTTGTCAAATAAAAATTTATTTGTCAAATAAAATAATTTATCAAATTATTTATCAATTTGATAATTATTAAAACCACCAAATGTGTGACATGTAATACATAGTAATAGGTGTGAAATAGTAACACAATAAATAATAAAATCTAGTGGTTAATAACTAGCTAAACTTCAAGTACTGATGAGTGTAAATATTTTTTTTTTTTTTTTTTAATCTAATTTAACATAGGGGCGCCTGGGTGGCTTGGTCGGTTAAGTGTCCGACTTCGGCTCAGGTCATGATCTCACGGTCTGTGAGTTCGAGCCCCACGTCAGGCTCTGTGTTGACAGCTCAGAGCCTGGAGCCTGTTTCAGATTCCGTGTCTCCCTCTCTCTCTGCTCCTCCCCTGTTCATGCTCTGTCTCTCTCTCAAAAATAAATAAACGTTAAAAAAAAAAATTAAAAAAAAAATCTAAGTTAACATATAGTGTAGTAATGGTTTCAGGAGTAGAATTTAGGGATGCTAAAACTACTCACTTTTTAAAGAAATTTTATTTAAATCCAAGTTGGTTAACATACAGTGTAGTGATGGTTTCAGAAGCAGAATTCAGTGAGAGCATAAATGACTTCAAAGGTACCTGCTACAATGGCAGTATGGTAGGAAAATACCTGCTAATGTTAACATGGATTGTGGCTGACATTTATAATCCGAAGAAAGGCTAACTTTCAATTAAGGTTAGTGACAAGGTCGGGAGCATGTCTTTCCCCCATCCAAACGCCCAGACCTCTAAATTCTACCCACGGACCCCAGGTTAAGAACTTCTGACCTAGTGTAGAGATGAGAGAAAGATGTATGGTGTTTGGATTCCCCCTTTAAAATTGCTGAAAGGAGAGAGAGAGAGAGAGAGAGAGAGAGAGAGAGAGAGAGAGAGAGAGACAAAAAGGTTTGATATTACAGAATGAAGAAGGGAGGTTAGACAACCAGGAAAAATCCTCCAGCCTTTTCAGGTGCAGAAGATGACCAGGAGATTTAACGGCATCCTTCTCAAACTGGGCTGAATGTGATGCCTCCAGACCTAGATAGATGCAGGCTTAAGTAACCAGGTGGGGGGCAGGGCTGGGAGTGGTTGCTCTGCCCTGCTCTGCTGGGAGTTCTGTGAGGGAGAGCTGCATCTCTATCCGTCTGATCGGCTCAAATCCCCAGGTTCTGTTATCCTGAGCCTTATCCCTCCCTCTTCTCTCCTACCCTTCCTTGACTACAGCGCCCTCAATTCTCGGCTCGGCCTCCGCTCCCTCCTAAAACAGGGGAGGGAGGCCACTGCATTGGCCTCTGGCCAGAAGACCAGATTTCCGGCAAGTGGAAGGTACAGAGCAGCCTAACTCAGGTGCTCCTCTCATCCCTTAGTCTCTCCACAGGGACAGGATTGGAGCTTTTGTCTCCTCAGCTCAGGGTCTGGACTTCCAGAAAGAAAAGTCTACAAGAGAAAGTGCCATGCAGATTTTCAGGTTCTCAACGTCTTCTTTAGGACTGGGGTCTGGGAGACAGGTGCAAGTCTGGCCTCAGTGCTCTCTGGGGGTCTCCCTCCTAAATCCCAAGGCCACCTCTGGTCTTGTCTGCTCTTCCCTACAAGAGTAGGAGGGTCCTGATCAGGGAGGGCCGGGATTTCCTGTCCCAGTGGAGAGACTGATTTTGAGATCCAAACCGAGCCAGAGGCCATGTTCTGGGGTAAAAGTTCCCAGTGGATTCATCACACCTCCCCAGGGGGCAGCTACAAACCCTGGTCTAGCTCACCCTCTTCTACCCACTTCTGTAGCCAGCCCTAACAACTCGGCACACAGGCTGGAAATTGACATTGATAGTAGCAAGTAAGACCTGAAGGATTCCTGCAGCCACAGGCCTCCAAGCTGTCAGGAAACCACCCTTCCCAGCACCTGTGAGCCAGCCAGGGGTTGCACAAACTGGTGGCTTGAAAGGCTTCAGCCACCTCTCAAGATACCCAAATACACAATTTAAAAAGCAGCCTTAAGGCAAAGATACCTCTCCCTTCCCCAGCACAGCAGTCAAGCCCCACCTAAGCTCCCAGAAATTCTGGAGTCTGTAGCATTTTGCAACCGCGGCGACACAGCCCAGAACCCGGTTTCTCAACCTGTAGAGGCCGCACCCGCATCTCCGGGGGTGGGCAGTGCCGGTAAACCCCAGCAAGCCCTAACCGGCTCAGAATTAACGGGAACAAAAGGATCCCCGTCCCAGGGCCCCATCCCCAGGCAGGCACCTGCCCTCCAAAGCCTCGAGACCCACCCCAAGGGCCGGGCCCTGGAATCCAGCCAAACCGCTACGTTCTGGGAACCACGGGTCCCCTCCCCACGGCCTCAGTTCGGGACCCCCTAGGCCACAGTGGAGTAGAGGGGAGGAGACCGTGCCCAAGGAGGAGGCGGAGACAAGAGGGAATAAACACGGGAAAACACGCAGTGGTAGGGAGAGTCTCGAGGGCTCGGAACACCGCAACTGTGAGAATGGGGGTCCCCTCCTGTAAGGTTCTCGGGCCCAACACCCGCGCCCCCACCTTCCACACTGCCCTGCGCCCTCTGAGCCCCTCCCCGGCCTAGCCCGTCCCCGCTAGCTCCCCAGCCCCGCACCCACCCCGCGCCCCCTCTTCACCCACCTTCGCGGGCACAGCCCGCGCGTCCCAACACTCTCCGCCCCGGCGCCCCAGACCCAACCCCCTCGCCGCCCTCTCACCTGAAACCACCAGCGCCTCGTTGGGCCCCACCGTGTGGCAATTGCCCATGGCGCCGGTGGGACGGAGGGCCCGCGGGGAACGCAGAGACCTGTACGGCACGGCCCGCACCGCCCGCACCGCCGGCCGCGCCCAGCCTATCCCGCCACCCCCAGCGGCCGCCCGCGCGCCCGCCCGCGCCCCTCCGCGGTCGCAGCCCCACCGGAAGTGTAGCGGCGGAGGGCGGGGCCGGCGGGCGAGAGGCGGCAGTCAACGCGCTTCATTTCCCAAGGCCCAGCTCCACAGCGCCCGGGAAGGCGCCCCCCACTCCCCTCCCCCCCGGCCGCCTGCATAACGACCTCCCGGCCCTGCCTCACCTCCCCGCACCCACCTTACCGCCGGGGGCCCTGTTGTCCCGCCGCTGCTGCTCTTACCCGCGGGGAGACCTTGGGCGAGTCCCTTACCAATGCAGCCCAATCCCGCCTCTGCAAATGGGGGTCACTTAACTACCTGGCTACGTGGTTGCAACGGGCCCAAGTTCAGTAAACCTCCGTGTTGGCAGTGCATCAAATCACAACCCCCCACGTCCTCATCCAGAGCCGATCAGCATCATCCAGAGTGGGGACCAGAAACAGGGGATTCAAATTCTTGAGAAGCAATGTCTGGCACATTAACCACGCCCCCACCCTCACCTCTCAATCTGGGATTATTGTTATTCTCAGGAAGAAATCATCGCCCATGATTTCCTTCCACCAGGAAAAGAGCCGCTCAGAAGAACACAACTTGCAGCTCCAGAAAGGAACCATGGGGGTAAAACCTGCAAACCCCTCAGTGCCCAAGGCGTGGCCTGGCATGCAGTTCAGGTTTTCAAGGGTCACCAAGTGCCAAGGAAAGCACCCCAGCCTGGGGATTAGGAGATTTAGGGCTCAGGTTCAGTTTTAACCTGAATTCGGTGTGTGACCTTAGACAAGTCTGGTGAATTGTGAGGGATGGGATGGGGGTCAGAAACTGTGGGCTCCTCAGAGAGGGGGCTGCTCCGGGAAGATGGGGTCCCTGGATCCTTAGGCTGGGGGTCTTCATCAGGTTCGGCATCCTGGCCAGGCCCAAGCCCTGCCAGCCTTTTACTGGCCTCCCACAGCCGGTGGGCCGCACGATCATCCCGGGCGGCTGGGGGCACCTCCTCTACATGGCAATTGGCAAAATATCTCCCACTGAGAGGTTCAATGCCCTCCTGTAGAGCGCAGTACAGGGGTGTCTGGGCACCCCCTCTTGGCGTCCGCAGCACCAGCCAAGCCAGTGGGCGCAGAAGTGGGCTCAGCCATCCAGGAACGTGGCGCAGGAATAGCTCTGAGTTCACAGGCCCTGTGGACGGGAAGAAAGGAAGGAGTGGGTGAGGACCCAGGAGAAGAGCAATAAGAATGAGGCTACAAGGGAGTGGGGAATGGAGTCCAGTTCCAGGGAAACCAGGAGAGTATTTGGTGGGCATTCAGGGCCCCCACAGGGTGACCTCACTCATTTCAACAGCAAGCTTCCTCCTCTCCATCTAAACTCCTGTACCTCCTCATGCCCCAGTTTCTTCATGCTGTGTCCCCTGCCTGAGGAGACATCTTTTTTCCTAGCTCAAGTCCCGCTCCTTTGTTTAGCCAGCAAACATATATTAACTAACACCTATGGTAGACCAGCCACTGTTTTGGACATTAGAGATGTGGAGTGTAATAAAAGCTTGATAAATGTTAGTTGTGATTATTACTGTCACTATTATAATTACTAGTGAGCCTTAGGCAAAGACCATCTAAAATGTAGTATGGTAGGGGTTTCTGGGTGGCTTAGTTGGTTGAGTGTCCAACTCTTGATTTTGGCCATGATCCCAGGGTCGTGGCATCAAGCCCTGCATCAGGCTCTGTGCCGAGCGTGGAGCCTACTTAAGATTCTCTCCCTTTCTCCCTCTGCCCCTCTCCCCTGCTCGTACGCTCTCTCTGAAAAAAATAAAAAATAAAATGCAGTATGGTAAAATGCGTAGGACAGATCTTGTTATCCTGTGATCTGTTCTGTAAGGCAGAGATGGGTTTTATTCACCAGTTAAGTCACTCAGACTAAAAGCTGAAATGCTTACAGTGGACTTCTAGACCCTGGATGACCCAGCCCATCTCTATACCTCATTTCTCGTCACTCTCCTCCTCTCACTTTGTTCCAGCCACATGGGGCTTCTTGTTCTTTCTCAAGCATACCAGGCACTTCTGCCTCAGGGCCTTTGCACTTGCTATCAGTCTGTTCTTTATACTCTTCTCCCCCGAAAGCCACATGGTTGGTTCATCTCCTTCAGGGCTCTACTCAAATGTCACCTTTTCAGTGATACCTCTTCCTTGCCTGCCGCAGAAAAAGCAGCACCTCCTGTCATTTCATATCCCCGTCACTGTGCTTTATCTTTCCCATGGCACTTTATCATCACCTGTCATTGTAAATATTTATTTATTAGCAGTCTCCCCCTCCCCAAACTAGAATGTAAATTCTACAAGGAAAGGGTCTTTGTTTTAAGTTCACTGCTCTATTCCCAGCACCAAGATTAATGCCTGGTACATAGTAGGTACTCAGTAAATGCTTTTTGAACGAATGAATAATTATTAGCTATCATCATCATCATCATCATCATCATCATCACCATCATCGTATGCTGAGTTCAGTCATATGGATGGGTTCTTGGGGTGAGAACCTGGGTTTTACTCATTGCCATACCCTACCCAGGAGTCAGCATCCAAATTAGTGGTGTGAGAGGAAGAACCCAGACAAGGAGAGCCTCCTTCCAAGATCAGCAAGGAACAGGTCTCTCCTTGTACCGTGCTTCCTTCCTGTTCTGAGCTTCTGTGGCTCAATGAGAGGCTGAGGGAGCACAGGATGGGTTGAGGACGGGAGAGGGGGAATCAAAGCAAAGCAGAGCAGTCAGAAAGCCAGGCCTTACCTGGGTGGGCCGCATAGCAGGTGACACCAGTACCCTCAAGCTGAGTGGCGAGCTCCCTGGCAAATAACACGTTGGCCAGCTTACTGTCGGCATATGCCCGCAGCTCCTGCTGCCAGCCCACCACTGGGCGGTCCAGGCGTGTGAAGTCAAGGTGCCCTCGCCGGTGGGCGGCTGAGGATACCACCACCACGCGACTGGGGGCGCATGTCTTCAGCCGCGGCAGCAGTAGATGTGTCAGCAAGAAGGGGCCAATGTGGTTCACTCGCAGCAGCAGGTTAAATGGCTCGTGGGTCCGGCCACAGGAACTGATCCCTGGGGCGGGGGCTAGATATGAGCAACTGCTCCAGAGGGATCCCCGAAGGCCTCAGTGTCCCCATTTGTGAGACAGCGGTAGGGGGCACCCTTTCCATACATCCACTGCCCCTTGGTAAGGCCTGGCTGGAGGGGACGGTTGCCCACCCTCTGCCCCCCTGCAGGACCTGCTGCCCCTCACCGGCATTGTGGATGAGGATGTCCAGCCGTGGCTCAGAGCTCAGGAAGGCAGTAGCAAAGGCCCGCACGGAGGCCAGACTGGCCAAGTCCAAGGCCATGAAGATGACCTCATTGTTCCCACTCTCCTGTGGGGCAGCAAGGGCTGGGCTTGTCACCAGGCACCTCTCTCCTCTTCCCTCTCCCCAGGTACCAAATTGTGAGAGTCCACCCCCTACTTTTACTAAGATCTGCCCCTGTGCCTTAGAATGTAGTGGACAAGTATGCGGACTCTGGATGCAAATTTTGACTTTGCCTTTTATTAGATAGAGTGTGACATTAACCTCTCTAGGGCTCAGGTTTCTCCCTGAATAATGGGAATAATGTAATACCTATTTCATGGAGTTGTGAGGATTCAATGAGTTAATATAATGTAAAACGCTTAGAACAGTGCCTGGCACCCAGTCAGCACTGTGTAGGTAGTTCTTGCTGTTATTATTATCATCATTCCCTCTTCCCATTATTGCTTATCCTAAAATCTGCAACAGACTTCTCATTGGTCTCCCCTCATCCACTCCTGTCCTCTCCAGTCCAGGCTCTGATAGCCACCGAGGGTTTCATTTCAAAATGCTATTCTGACAGTCCATACCCTACTGAGTCCACACCCTGCTATTCTGACAGATCCAATGCTTCACTGTATCTCCACTGCTCATCCTATAAAATCCGAGGTCCTCAATAGGATCTAGAAGTGCCTCCAGAACCTAGCCCTGGCTCAGGGGCTCCAGCCTCTTCATTTTGCCTCTTTTCTTCCATATTTCGTGCTCCATACAGACTCAATAAATCTTTTCTTTCAGTTTTTTTCCCCCCTAAATCAAATCAGCTCTCTTGCCTCAGGGCCTTTGCATATGCTGTTCCCTCTGCTGTTCCCTTCCCTACTGTCTTTCATTAGTGTAACTCTTACCGATCCTTAAACATCTTAGGAAGCGCAATTACTTCCTTCAAAAAGCCCACCTCCTAGCTTTCTCGTCTGGTGTCCCTTCCCTGTGTGGCCAGAGCACCAGCAGACCCTCTTTTCTGCACTTAACGACCAGAGTTGAGGAAGCCGCTCTGTTCACCCCCTCCGTGTCCGGGTGTGTTCGTTTGTTGCTCACCCTCTCCCCCTCACCTGGCGGAGGTCGAAGGCCGCCGCCTCACCACGTTCCCGGCTCCGGCAGGCCAGCACCACGCGCGCTCCCCGGCGCGCCAGCTCCAGCGCCGTCATCTTCCCGATGCCGCTGTTGGCGCCTGCGGTGGGCGGGCGGTAGCTGAGCCGAGGCGGACGGGCCGCTGACCCCGCCGCCCGGCCTCCCCGCCACCAGCGCGCCCGGCCTCCGGCACTCACCCGTAACCACAGCCGTGCGGCCGCGCAGGCTGGCTATGCCACCGCAGGGCGGGGCCTTCACGAGGTTGTAATAGACAAGCACGTAGGCGCCCAGCAGCAACCCCGCGCCCAGCAGCAGCGCCTCCATGCCGGCCGCGCCTCCGGGCTCCCGCACAGGCCCCGCACCACCCTGGATCGGAGCCCGTCCGGCGGCTGCCGAACCGCCTCGCACCGGCTCGAGCCTCCCAGAAGGCGGAGGCAGAGGCGGAGGCGGGTGGGAGGCAGGGCAGGGGTGTGTGTGCGTGCGTGGGAGCGTGGGCCGTGCGAGCGCCCCCTAGGCATGCGTCTACGTCCTCTGGGTGTGTGCTTGTGGAACACCTAGGTGCGCGTGTGCTTTGGGGCCCTGGCAGCGCCCTCTAGGTGTGTGCCTGCATGAGCTCCTTCCAGATGTGTGATCGTGTGCAGGGGCACCCTGGCTATGTACATGAATCCACCCACTCTGAGTGTGTGAATGACTCTGTGAGTGTGTAATGTGCCCACGGGCTCTGGGATTGCCCCTCAGGTTGTGTGTGTGCCTCTGGATCCTCTGTGTGTGAGCTCCTTGTGGGTGTGTACTTGCAGGCCCAGGAAGTACCCTGTAGGTGTGTGCAGGCACACACCCTGTAGGTGTGTACCTTTTACGTGTTTGTGCCCATGTGGGCCAAGAGCCCCTCCAGGTGTGTGCATGCCTCTGTAGTCTCTGCCAGTGTGTGCACTTGAATGAACATCTACGTGTCTGTCCTTTGTGCACATGCCCCTTAGCTGAGGACTTGCTGGAGGGGCTCACAAGGTGTGTGTGTGTGGGGGGCCCTCTGGGTGTCATCTGTGCGAAGCAGAGTCCTTCCCTTCTGGAGGGATGTGTGCACATGAATGCTGTTATGTCTGAGAGAGAGTCCAGCCCTGGATGCCTTGCCCTCCCTCCATAAGTAAGTCCTGCAATTCCTTATCCTCACTTCCAGATCTCAGCTTCTAGAATGCTTCCTTATTCTTCCTATAGAGGCCAGAGAGATGGCACAGTGGCCAGGGTGGCACCACCCATCCAGGGCTGTTAGGAGTCACTCCTTAATTAGCTGTATCCCCGTGCCTCTGCCGCCCATCCCCTCCATTTCCGACGGGAAGCAAGAAGAGACTGAAATGTCATATGTTACCTGACCTCCAGGAGAAAATTTCTCTGGGATGGTCCTAACAGGTGGTATAAATAGGTAAAGAAGCTCCCTGATTCAATGGAGGAAGTGACTCTGACAGCACGGTGGGTGGTGACAGCTTAGGGAGGCACAGATGAGGGTATTCCTGGCCAGGACAAGGACTTGCCTGAGAAAACCATTATAACTTAGCACCCACTGTTTCCCACGTGTGGTGTGCCCCATGGTACGGTCAGCCTTGGAGATACTGAGCGGAACAATAGGTTTCTGCCCTTGGAGAGTTCAAGAGGCCCATCAGGGCAGGGGGAGCAGAGTGGTGGAGACAAAGCGAGGCAGGTAGGTGGAAGCCAGGGACAGACCTCAGATTCCAGGGGGAAGTTTTCTACTTGGCTGCACTAGGGATTCGGGGTTCAGTTGCAGATGCTGTAGGAAGAGGCTGGGAATGGAATATTAATGGAAAAAATGGATGCATACTCCATCCTCAAGGCAAAGTCCTGACCTGCTAACCGGTACCAATTCCTTGAACCCTTGTGGGACAGACACACAGGCGATCCCTGTGTCCTGTGTTCAGGAAAAACGTCCTGGATAGTTTCTCACGTCAGGTCTGAGAGGAGGAAAAGGATGGGAGCTAGGTTCGATGGGAGGGTTCCCAGGACCTTAGGATTAAGGTAATGCAGTTGAGTCATCTTCCGATGAGAAGCTGCAATTGTAGGGAAGTTATTATGCTTGGTAGTCGCGTGAGTTGCGGCTCGACTGGGTCTAGGGATCGGATCTCTCCTTCTGCTTCATGATGCTCCCCAGAGACGTTTGAGTTGACAACCTGCTCCACACTAGATTCTAAGCTCCAAGAGGCTGGGGCCGTATCTGTCCTGTTGATTGCTCACATCAAGTTCCCTAGCCCAACCCCCAAGTCCTAGCAAAGGCCATGCACAGAGGAGGGAACTCAAGTGATACTCGAACAAGTAATTGCTGCCTGCCCAGCTAAGGCTGACAGGGAAAGGATAAAAACCAGGTGCAGACTCCTAGAGGAGATGATCGTATCCTATCAAATACGATAGCGAACAACTGCAATCGGAGGCAGCCGGAACTCCCGAGGCTAAAGCTTTTAGACCAGAATGCAGACGTCTCCCGACAGGTCCTGTTTTAGTATCTTGGTTTTGGAGTCAACAGGAGCAGGGACCTGCACACACTTGGATTCTTGCAGTATGTGGTCATGTCAAAGGCTTCTCTCAAGTTGCCCACGAAGCCAGGCAACAGCCCCGCCCTACCTGATGCACCCCGACCCCTCCATTTTCCCACATCCACCAGGGGCTCACTTTTCTCCAAGACCTTTGCTCTCCTGACCTCGCTTGGGGTCTGAGTGTCTTGGAATGAGACTAGTTCACTGAGACTGGGAACAGGATCTTGGGGAGGGTCCCCTCTGAGGGTGATGACAGGTAGGACAGACAGGCAGAAAACATAAGTTGAAGTATTTTTGTTTTTTTATATACAGAATACAGGAAAGTTTCTGTAAAGTCTAAAACATTACAATTACTATGTACATTGGTACTACTTGGGGTTGGGGGAAGGGGAGAGGAGGGAGCCAGGGGTGGGAGGAACAGGAGAGAAGTGGCAAGAGAACAAAAAAAGGAGACGAAACAGGTTTACGACAAAAACGTTTTTGCTACAATAGACAATTTGAAGAAAACGCTCTACCACATGTAGTACTGTACAGTTTTTAAAAACATTGAAAAAATGTCATCACTAGATGTATTTACACAAAATCCAAATACACTTTTCCTTATTTGAAATAAAATAGATGGACAGCCAGAAAAAGAATTCATTTCTCATTTGTCCATAATACACAGTAGCTACCTGTAGTGCAACCGCTGCAGAAAGGGAAAATAACTCGGAGGGTGGGAACCACGGAAGTCGGGTGGGTAGCGATCTTTATATTAAATAAAACAATGATATTGTATAGATTTTGCTGTATGAAAACTGTATTTTTTTCTTTTAATATAAAACTATTGTCACTGCCACAAAATAGAACAAGTTTCTGATTATTTTACAACGGCGGGCGAGGGGGAGGGAGCAGGAGGCGGGTGGGGAACGGTTTGGTGTTGGAGGAAGTGTCCAGACCATCGGCCTTCCCCTCCCTGCCCACGCTGTTCCTCAGCTCGGGTCTGCCGCTTTCCCATGAAATGTCGAGTACAAATATATGTGCAAATGCCCCCTAGAACTTGAGAAAAGAAAAAGGATCTTTAAAAAACAGTCAAAAGGTTTTCTTCATTTCATGCAAAGATTGTAGTTGGAGGGTTTCTGGTGGAGTATAGAAAAAACCCGGGCTTGGTTTGTGTACATTTTTGCATTGCAGGAGTCTCGGGTCGGGCGGACGGGCGGGTGACGGGGTAGCCGCCAGTCCTAGGGAACGGAGTTGGAACGCAGCACGGGGCCCTGGTGGGGCTTGAGAGACAGCTTCTCGGCTAAGACCCCATCCTGCAGCAGGCCAGCATCGCCTTTGGGCTGTTTGGTCGCAAACTCAGTGATGCTGAACACAAACTGCAGGCACCCCAGCTTGATGTAGCTGCCGTGGTGCAGTAAGGCCGTGCCCTCCCAGCCGGCCCCACTGCCCCCAATCAAGCTCGAGCTGCTGGCTTTGCAGTTGCAGGGTCTCCGCTGTGGCCCCTGGGCCTGGGAGCTCATCATGGCTGCCTCCTCACTTGGCTCTTCATCCTGTTTCTGGTGCCGGCGGCGCCCTGGGAACAAGGAGGGTGGTCACGGGACAGGAACAGTGAGCAGCCAACCCACCCAAGGCGGTTTGCCAGCGCTGGGCCCCTGCACCTCCCCATTCTAGCTGCTAGGTGACTAGGGCTGAGGGACACCCGGAAAGGGCCAGGGGAGTCTGAAGTCCCCAGGCAGGTGTGTGCCCAGCACTCGCTTCTCTGTGGTCTCCCTGGGCCCGCGAGCAAGGAGAGCCTGGCCGACGCGACCCGGAAGGCAAGAGAGCAGGCCGTCGGCAGAAAGCCAGAGCCACCCTGAGGGGGCCTTAAGAGAACACGTCCGAAAAAATGGCCGGCTTCGTGGCCACAGGCTCCGACTTACTGATGACACTCTGCACTTTGGCAACAATACTGCTTGGGGGGGTTGGCGGGGTCTTCTCAGAGAAGTCACATGAATACAGCACATTGTCCACCGTTGTCCCGTGCTCACTGTAGTTTAACAGCTCATAATGTTTGGTATTCTGAGGAGGAGGAGGGAAGATAAGATGTGTGGTCTGCTGCGTGGGGCCTGGGGCTAAGGGGAGAGAGGACACATGGAGAAGGCTGTGCTGCTCTACCTGGGGAGCTCTCTTTGTTCCCCAGTCAAGCCCCCCTGCCCTGTCTCTTTAGAATGGGGCTCAAGACTCACCTCCTCAGGGAAGCCTACCTTCCTAGTGGCCCTCACCCCCCCCCCCGCCCCCGCTCTCCCACCACTGCTCTACTCTGCCTCCTGGGTCCTGGCTCCTGTATAAATGCTATTCGCTGGCACAGAGGGCCTGGCTTCCTTCTATGCAGGTCCCCTCCCCTGCTTCCGGGTGGGCTCCCCGCACCCCGCTGAGCCCGTGACCAACCTCAGGAGAAATGGTAGCACCGCTCCTAGGGAGCGTTAGTCACGGCAGGATGCCCTTTCACACCAAGACCCTTCTACTCCAGGAATGACAGCGAGCGAAGAAAAGAAGACCTCCCACCTCCCTTCCCCTCACCCAGGGCACTGAACAAAAACCCTGGTGCCTGGGAGAGGCCTCAGGCTGTGAGAGCTCTCCCACCCCTTCCCCACCCCTCACCTCATCATAGAATATGCAGGCGTGTTTCCCAGACACGTAGTTACAGTGACCATAGTTTGTAAGGCACACGTCCATGTCAGCTCCTGTAAGGTGGCAGGAGTAGAGGCAAAGGCAGGCAGAGAACAGACGGTAAGGTGTATGCATGGGAAGGTGGGGGGCAGGGAGTTAGCTTCTGGGCGGGCACCGGGAAGACCTTAGGGGGAGACCAGCTCAGGGCCCCTTCCTTGTATATTTGAACAAAAACCAGCGTCTTTTCCACTCCCCTTCTGAAGAACAGGTGTCCCTGCCAGCTGATCTCCTTCAGAACATGTGGCTGCTGCCCAGAAGGGAACAGTGAGCTCCTGAAGAGGGTGGGTTATTTCCATGAGGGCACAACATGGGGTGCGGGGCTCATAAATCCTATCTTTGGAAAGAAAGGAAATTTCTAGGCCAAAGGCTAATCTGACTGTCCCTCTGTACAAGATGCAGGACTAACTGAAGGTTATGGGTGTGTGAGCACCATCACTTTTTCAAAGACCTCCAGGGACAAAGTATGTGCCCTCTCCTCCGGTTTTATCTGCTTGTTTAAAATGCCTCACTGAGCAGCAGTCACGGCTGACTTTCCCCTCTCCTGATATCACGCCGGGCCCAAAGCAAAAGGGCTTGAGGCAGGGAAGACAAGCAACCGGTAGTCTCCTTTCTTAGTCCCTCTTGCCCAGATATCTGCTGGGTTAAACCAGTCGGCCCGAGGGAGGGTTTCCCTCACCCCTTCCTGGCCTCCGCGGGAAGAGGTGGTAGTTTCTAGGGCTGAACAGATGCGGTGCCCCCCCTGCCCCCAGCTGGCTCACCTGTCCCGATGTAGAGGGTTCGATAGCACATGTTCACAGCTCCTCCCAAACCCAAGAGAGGGTAGAACACAGCTCGGGCCTGTACTTCCTTTCTTTGCACTACAAGACAAACACAGGGACAGGATCATTCAGAAACTCAGAACCTGGACCTTTGGCTCACGGTCTAGAGAAAATAATCCCACTAGATGAGTCATCTTTCAAAACTCACCTTGGACACTGGGCTGCTTCAGGGTGGCACTCTCTCCCCCCACCCACAGCATTTCCAACACGGGGTAAGAGAGACCATCTTTGAAAGTGGTCACAGAATTCAAAGATGAAAGTACTTTAAGTTCCTGGGCTGACTGGTTTATCAGGGATATACCAGATGTACTATAGGGAGGCCAAGCAAAACAACAGTAGGCACAGACCAGTGTTTCTCGAACTTTAATGTGCATACGAATCAACTAGAGATCCTGTCAAAATGCAAATTCTGATTCTGTGGGTCAGAAGCGGGGCCTGAGCTCTGCGTTTCCAACAAACTCTCAGGTGATGCTGATGCTGCTGGTCTGGGGACCACACAATTTCAACCAGTAAGGCTCAGTAATGGTTAATGCTCAAAGGAATATCCAAAGCAGTTAAATGTCTTGGGAAAAACTTTCAGGAGACTAGCCCAAATGTTACTTTATTTATTATTATTATTATTATTATCGTCATCATCCTTATTTTTAACGTAAGCTCCACACCCAACAGGGGGCTCGAACTCCTGACCCTGAGATCAAGAGTTGTATGCTCTACTGACTGAGCCAGCCAGGTGCCCCTAGATCAACTGCTATTCTGCTTCTCACCTTGAACTTGAAAAATTCCCTTTTGGGAAACCTTTGTAACCCAAATATTTGGAAGTAGTTCAGCAGAAAGTGCACCACATATACCCAAAGGCATTCGTAGCTGCTTTGTGTGTCTCAAAGCGGATGAGCACGAAAGTTACAACAGACTTCCCCGAGTCTGACGTGAAAGCTGTGGTTGCGATTTTGTTCCAGCTTTCTGGGAAAAGAAACCACGGCACTTCATTAAGGCCATTAAAGGCACACATGGAACACTGAGATAGTCAAAGCCAAGACTCCTCAGGAGGGGAGACGGCCGCTCACATGCACAGGGGAGACCTGACGGCGGGCTGCGGCGGCAGGGGTGTGCGTGCGCACCTTCTGTGTGGTGCCCTCCAGAAGCCAGCGGATGTGCCCCGACACTGCCCGGTGAAGCTTGGACCCGGGAGGGGAAAAGCTGATGTATTCTCTGCAAGGCCAGAAACTTGATCAGCTTCTCGTCCAGCATATTTATCTCGATTTCTATTAACCAAAGAGAGAGATGAAAAAAAGCAGCTGAGGAGGAATTGGAATGTGGAAGTAGGTGAGGGTCACAGAGCAAATAGTTAAGCATTCCTAAAATCTAGCCAAGTGATTTTTCTCGAACAGGCAAGAGTACAAAGTGGCCTAAGGATCCAGAGCTCAGCATCTCACTGGCCGTTTGCAGTGAGATGGACCCCAATGCAGCCTGTGCAGATGCCTCTTGCAGTGGGCAGCTTCATTTTAGGTTAAGTGGTCCTGGAAAGGTAGAACAAAATAGACCACCTGCCTGCCTGTGGAGGAGGCCTGGATGTCCGACATGGAGGCTTAGATCTGCTACCCACCCTCTTCAGAGGTCAAGCTCTGCCTCCATTCTCTTCGACTTTGGGAACAAGGCCCTCCTGGTTTTATTCTGCCTCAAGTAATTCTCTTCTCACAGGTTCAACTTGGTCCCACTCTCCTTTCACCTTGGAGTCTGTGTATAAGCACGTGTAGAAGGCAGAGGTGGGAGGGAGCCTTCTTTCTTAACCCACATCCCCAGCCCTCGGAGGTCAGGCATCCCTTCTGTTCCTTTTCTGAAATGAGCTCGAATGCCGCGCAGGGACAGCACCTTCACGCAGCAGCAGCTGGTGGGAGAGCAGCAGCTCACGCACTCACCTCCATTGACATCCATAAATGCTCGCAATGAGTTGGTGAGGTCCACCATGGCAGTAGAGTTGGCTGGGAAAGAGGGTACGGTTAAAGCGCTTCCTATGGATAACGTGCCGGGGCTGACCTTGCCATCTGGGGACGGAGCAGGAAGACTGTTACTTACGTCGCCTGAGGGAAACCCACCGGTCCAATCCCCCACTGCCGAGACAGGTCTGGATTTCGGACCCAAGGTGATGTTCCCTTCTTGATTCTCACCCCATAGGCTCTGGAACTCCTAGAGCTAAAAATGTGTGGTGAGGAAGGGCAGATGGAACGACAACGCACCCGGGCACGCAGGAGTCTCCAGAGCACGGAGAACCAGTGAAATCTACTGCTCTGGGAAATGTGGTAGGGTGGCTTTGTTCTCTGGGCCGTGACTACCTCCCTGCTGCCTCCAGTCATTCAACTAAGTGGTGCCTGCCCCTGCGTTTCCTGCCTCCTGAAGTTCGACTCACAGGATGCAAGATCTATCCAGGCTGGTATTTAGAGGTAAACAGAGACAGGAAAAGAGCCTGAGGGTAGGGGCCATCCTGGGACCAGGGGCCCCCATGCAGAGAAGTCACAGTCACCTGGTTACCGAGACTCCCAGCTGACTAGGAGGCCAGCTTCAGTTCAGACGGGAGAGACCACAGGGGGTTCCAGCAGCATCTGAAACCTGGTTCAGATGCTGGGGTCAGCAATCTCGAGGTCCAGAGTGCTGACTGGGGACAGCTGAGAGAGCAGGTCCACACTAGGCCAAGTATGGGTGTAGGGGACCGCCTTTCTGCAAGTGGCCCAAGGGTGAGCTTCTGGGCCGGATCAACCTCTTTGGGCATGCCACTCTGCAGCTACCCTGAAAGGTGGTGTTGCTTTCTAACTCTGCCTTCCCTGGCATGGAAGCTCCTTCAAACCAGGGGGCTCTGAGAATCTGGATCAGGTGTGACCTGGTCTCTGGTGTGGATCATGAAACACGGAGGCCATCACCTAGAACCTCAGGCTGGCCACAGGGGTTCCAGAGATCATGCTGCCTTCCTCTAAGGTGATGGAACAAAACAAGCAGAAGACTAGGCCTGAAATGGGAAGGTGGAGTCAGGAGACCCAGCCGTGGTTCCGATCCTACCACTGACTCGGTAGGTGACCTAGAGGAAATCACTTAAACTTTCAGAGCCTAAGCAACCCCACCAATAAAACGGGGGACAAGTTAACACATGCTTTCTCCTCTATCACATAAATGGGGAGAGGACAAATAAGACCGAGATCAAAGTCCTCTGAAATATGCACAGGAACGTAAGTGTTTTCTGAAGTGTAACTCCCAGAAAGAGCATGAAACTACTCCAAATCACCCCCAGGTTGAGCACCACTCACCTGATGATGGCGCTGGTGAGCAGAATCGTTGGTTGGCTCCTGTGGCCAAGATACCATCTCCTGCTGCTTGGGGGGGAGTGAGCACCCGGGTGGCATTTGGGGGTGAGCCCAGTGGCCTTGAATCTGTCAACGGAGGTCCTATCTGTGATTGGACAGTCTTTCTTTGCAAAGTGCTGGTGTTCTCGATGCTGGCACAAGAGCTGGGAATGGAAGGGGGCAGGCTTGGGACAGGAACCAAACTCCTCTGGGGGCAAGAGCTGGGGCCAGTGGCATTCTCTGTCTTCACAATGATGCCGACGGTGTGGTTCTGAAGCCCCCCAGCCGCTGGTGGCGTGAGGGGCCGGGGCCAGCCTTGCCGGTGGGAGAGGCCTGGTAAGGGGGTGTTGGCGCCTGGAAGTCGCCGGGGGTCCGTGGAATCGGTGGGGTTGCTGTAGAGGTGTGGGCCATTGGCTTTCACCTCTGTGCTCACTGGCCCGTTGGCAGTCCCGCAGGGGGCTTTCTTGGATTTTTCCGCACAGGAACTGCAGCTGATGTCCTCTAGGGCTGGGGGCTGGTGGGGTGGAGAGCAGCTCAGGGAGTTCTGGGAGCTAATCCCTGAGGGGCAGGATAAGGGGCAGTGGGAAGGTGTAGGTGCCTTGTCAGCTGTTTGCAGGGAGGTGGTGATTGAGCTGTCAGTCACAATAACAGGCTTAATATCAGCCTTCTCTGTCTGTTCAGAGTCCCAATGCGAAGGCATCTGCTTAGCAGATAAATGTTTCAATATGCTGCACTGGAGCGCAACAACACTACAGAGCCACTGCAATGGAAGGAGAGGAGAGGAGGGTGAGATGCCTGGGAGGCGCTGGTCCTTCCTGCCCCAGAGGCCAGGGCTACAGCACAGCTGATAAACACTGTTTCCAAGGTCCCACTGCAAATGCCCAGAAAAGGTGTGCTTGACTTCTGATAAGATTCCATTTCCATTCCCAAGCAAGACTTGTTGGTATACTCAGCAGCCAACACCCTGGTCGGCAGAGCTCACCTTGTGAACCAATATCCAGCACGTACCCTAAGCAACTGCTGTGTGTCCAGCCCTATCAGCTAACCTCTCTATGGGTCTACTGGTCTCTTTCTGCCAGACAGACTTGCTCATCTCACAGCACACTGGGGGACGGATGGAGAAAAACAGACTGCTTGACTGTATTTCTTTTACTTGCCTCAGAATATCAGCCAGAGGTTCTCTCTGGAATATTCAACCATTGGGGGCTGGAGAGTGGGGGTCGGTGGGATTGCAGAAGATGGGGATGGGAATGGCACTGAGGCTACTTCCAGTAACAGCTGTGGTGAGAAGGAAGGAAGATTGGCTTTGGAATCCCAGCCCTGCCTTCACTCACCTCTTGCTGCTCTGCCTGGGTGGCTAAGTGCTCAGAGTTCAAAAGGTGCGTCTGTGATTCCTCGGGGATCCCGTTGCAGATCAGCTCCCCATCCCGAATGGCCGCGGGTGCAATGAGAGGGGGTGGAAACTGGTACTGAGATTTTATAGCATCGGGAACCTGTTTAGTATAGAAGGAGGAGGAGACGGAGATAGTGCCGACACGTCCAGTTGATTCTGCCTCTTCTGTCTGCGGTGCTGATGCCCGCGGGACCATCGTGCACTCTGGGTCCACTAAGACAAGGAGGCTCAGTGGGCTGCAACTGCTCTGTGCCTCAGACACACACGCATTAGCTAGAGAAGGCACAGAGCTGGAAATGACAGGCGTGCGCCCCGTCCCCCACTTTCTTCATTCAGGTCTACGGCCCGCAGAAGCCAGAAACCATTGCTTTGGCCTAAAGAAGTGTAGGGCTGACACTGGACACAGCTTCAGAGTGGTACTCTCTAGGCTCTTACTGCTCAGCATCAAGTTTGGGAGAGTAAGCCGTATCTGAGAGGTAAAACGTCAAAGGAGGTCACATTTACAGTGGAAATGCTCAGCATGAAGTCTGGCCTGTGATAAGCACTCAGTCAATGTCAGTTTTCTTCGTCCACTCATTCATGACTCATGAAACAACTGAAGACCTCTTTGTTGTACAAAGACAGAAGACACGTTCTGAATCACGCCATGTAAGGATGAAAGAGCCACACAACAAGCCAAGAGTCATTCATACATTCAACCAACATTTATTGAGTACCTCCTGAGTCTGGACACTGTACCCAGTCCTAGAGATCCAGAGATGAAGAAAACTTAAGCTCTGCCCTCAAGGAGCTCACAGTCTCGTTGGGGGAGATAAACATTACAATACAGTGTAATGGGTCCTAGAATAGAGGCATGGCTAAGGAACTATTAAAAATATGGAGGAGAGTGCTTGTTTCTGTCTGGGGGACAAGGACAGATTTTATAGGAAGGCAGTATTTGAGACTTGGAAGTTGAGAACTTCCAGGCAGACAAAGGGGAAATAAGGGTAGGGGAGCAGCATATAAGGCATAGACATGTGGAAGCACATGACGGACTTGGAAAACATTTGGAGAACAGATTTGGTGACCGAGTCCCTATGGAAGATAACAGAAGAACTGAAAACGGTTCCCAGAATTTTGCCTTGAAGGACCGGGAGGAGATTGCGGTCATTCACTGAAACAGGAAATATAAGAGGAAGAGCAGATTTGGAGGCAGAAGACTTTCGGTCTTGGGCAAGTTGAGACTGAAGTGTCTGTGGGATGGGCAGACAGATATGAATCCAGACATGAGGAGAAAGTCAAGAGATATGGAACTGAGAGACAGCACCATTAACGGTGGTGGCTGGTGCCATGGGCTTGTCCAAAGTCAGCCAGGAATGGGAGGGGGAGGAGTGGAGTGGTAGGCAAGCCTAAGGTTGCCCCCCTTGGTGAAGAGTGAAGGGGCAGCAGGAAGAGGAATCCCTAACACCAAGTTCTTAGCCAATTTTGCTGCCCTGCTCTATACCAACAATGAGGATGGTTCAGGTCAGAGCTGGAACACTGTCCACCACAGTCCTGTGCTACCACAGTCCTCACTTCACTCTCAAATTGTCCAGTACGGAATGCTCAGCAGGCAGCTCTTTCTGCCCACGTGTCCTGTCCCCGTGCTATAACAAAAATACTTGTCTGCCCTGCAAGGGAAAAAAAGTGCTATTCAGGTAACTCGTGCCCTTGGATTTTCCTCAAGAATAGGGAAAGCTTGGGGCACCCAGGTGGCTCAGCTGGTTGAGCATCTGGCTCTTGATTTCACTCAGGTCATGATGTTATGGTTCAGGAGATGAACCCGTGTCTGGTTCTGCACTGACAGTGCAAAGCCTGCCTGGGATTCTCTCCCCACCCCTTCACCCGTCTCTGCCCCTCCCCTGCTTGTGCTCTGCTTCTCTCTCTCTCAAAATAAATAAATAAACATGAAGGCGGGGGGGGGTGTGGGGGGGGTGGGGAATAGGGAAACCTTTGAAAGGGGAGAGGGCATTGTGAAACAGAATTTTCTCAAGCCTTTCTGGGACTGTTCACTTCAGCCGCCAGGCTCTCTTCCAAATCCACATGGTGAATTACACAGTTTAGTTTACTTTCAGATTTGTTTTACTGAGATATGAGGCATGCCACCTCTATAATACCCCCAACTGAAAACACCTTGATTTAATTTTAGAAACCGGTATTTATATTGAAGTATAAATATTTACACACTTAAGAGATTGTTATACAATTTCCAACAGTTAACATCTTGCTAGCTTGCTAGCGCTGACATCTACTGGAAGTGATGGGAGTGGGGTGAGTGATTTAAAGCATTGCTGCCACCAAGTGGCCACATTTGAGAATTGCTGGTCTCCACTGGCACACAGCACAGCCTGTGTGCCGGATTATTCCAAAAAGAGAAAAATCAAGCTTCTATGTGGGTCCACGGTGTTGGGCTCTCTAGGTTAAATGAATGAGGAAACTGAATGGCTTTTGAGAAACAGCCTCAACACCACCAAATGCTTTTCAATAAAGGCATTTTTTCTGTTGATCTCAGCCGATCTCAGCTAAAGTTGACATTTTAGCAACTGTCAAGTGCATACAAGAATGTTAGATATTATTATGGCAAGGCCACAACTTGGCACAACTTGGAATATTCGTTATATATTACCAGCACCTTGGAAAAACAGATTTACTCTCCTTTAGGCATTTTCCTCTTAAGTTTCTCAGCTGGGATAGCTCCTCCCTTCCACATGGGTCTCTGCTTCATCACCACCACCTTCACCCCGCCAGACAGCTCTTGGAAAGGGGCCACCTCCCAGGAACAGATAGCATGAGTACCAGGCCAGGGGTGGCAATAGCAGAGCACATCCGTCTGGCGGAAGGGGCTAACGAGCACTCATCAGGAGAACTGAAGACTTGCAGAGTTTGGGGTTTGGCCTTCGTAATCCTGACCACCACCCTCAAGTATTAAAATGTGTGGTCACATTCACCACTTGTTGAGACACCACAGACAAATCTCAGGGCTTCAGTCTCCCTGTCTATAAATTTGGGACCACAATCCTCTGTCTATCCCATGAAAGCAATCAGAGCCCACTCTCCTGCCTGCTCCAGGTTGGGACTCACCTTCAAGCTTCTTCTTTTGACTGACTGGAGCACTCGGCGGTTAGGAGGGTGCTTCTTGTGGATTCGGTTCAGGAAGTCCACTTTGACCACATGCTGCGAAATGGTGTCCTGGAAACGGTCAAACACCTGGCACCGATTGCTCAGCGTCATATTCTTCTGGTTCAGCTAGGAACAAAGCAGACACACTTTTACAATGACCCTCAAAAGGCATCCCCTCCCAACTAACTATCCTTTAGGTCTGAAAAATAGAAGCCCTTGGCCAAATAGGTTCCTTCTGTCAGGGGCTGATACGTCAACACCCCTGTCAGAGGGCTAGGGGACACCGGTAAGACTTTCTCCCTCAGTCCTGCCTGGTCCAGAGAGGGAAAACTGGTATGTTCCTATTCCCTAGAGAGGCTTGAGGGGGACAGGAAATAGGAAATTAGTCACAAGTACCCTTCAAATCCAGCCTGACAGCTCAGACCACCTTTTGCCAGTGGACCCTAACAGAGCACAGGTTTCAGAGGACAGGCGGGCCTTGGCCCTCGAGACCCAGACTCCCTTTCTAGCAAGGCACTCATTCCCACGGGAAGCAGGACGGTTTCCTATATAGGAGCTTGGCTAACAGCAAGGATCAGCACCAGAATCCTGTGTGCTCTGCTCTATTCCTCTTCCAACATACCAGGGAACATTAGTGAGCCCATCTGGATATCACAGTCCTGCTCTAGAGGAGGAGGAAAACCTGGGCTGCTCTAAGAGGCCGAAGGGAGGGAAGAAAGAATGTTGCGCAGCAGCATCCAGAAGGCATATAAAAACTATGCCACTTTCCCTCTAAACTTTAATGCAAAAAAGATCTGCTCAGAAGCTTCATGATTAGTAAGGTAGGAAAAACCCCTAAGTGGCTAAGTAAATAAATTATCTAATTAATAATTTTTCATCTGTTGGAAAGTTGCTCTTTAAGATTCATATTTGGGCATATAGCTGACGGTAGTTTTTTTCTGGTTTGGCAGGAGGCAAAATGAAACACTCGTAACTGAGCTTGGAGAGAAGCTTCCTCCTACATAAACCTTTCTGAGCAGTGTTAGCCAAATGAAGAGGCCAAAGCAAACGTTTTTGCCCCATGTGTGCAAGTCTATAACCAAGGCTCCTCAGTGCGATGCGAGGAACACTCTGTCACGCTGAGGGTCAAAAGACATTCCGTGGTCATTACCGTCTCATACACAACGTCTTAAGCAATAATCTTTTTAATCTGGAAAGGCTGAACTTATAAGGGAGCTGCTCTTCTGAAGCCCTCACCCATTCAACCTTGTAAACGGCTGTTCTTAGTGCCTAGAAGGAAAGGGCCTCTTTTGGAGATAGCAAACTACAGTTCTGTTTTAGCCCCAGGAAGCGTCTGGAAAATGTACCCAAGACTCCTGGGAGATAAGATAAAAGGACCCTGACACCAGTCATTCATTCAACAACTCACTTACTATCATGCACCGTGATAAGGTGGGGGTCAAAAACTAAAGAGAAGGGGAAGATCTCCATGTGACGCCTAGGACACGTTAGTGTTCAATAATGGCTGATTGTTTGGAACACTGTCATCCATGTCAGTTCTTCAATTCTCCCAAGTTAGTGGGATTTGACTGTCTGTCATTCCTGAGATATGAGAATAAACGTTTTAGAATTTCTAGTTTGCTCCCTCTAAAAATAAGAGACAGGAAAATACAGAGGCAGCTACCACGAGAACATTTATTCCCATGAGTTGGATAGAATATACGCCCCCCCCTTCATGGCTATAACATCAACTGCTCAATTCACCATGGAATAAATTTATGTATAAACAATCAAGTCTGCCTGTACAGCTAAAACAAGGCATTGTGGGAAAATGCAAAACGCACAGCTGAGGCATGTCAAAATGATTGGAACTGAGTAGGATGGTCTACAGAAATCCGTATTTGAGAGATTATATATATAGCGAACTCTGGTACAAAGCTGACCTTACTATGCTTTCTACTGAATCAGGCCATGCCCTGGCTGTGCCCAGAGAGAACAGAAGGGACAATGCTGTGCTTACCACCACATGTTCGATGTGATTCGGACACATCCATCTGCCCAGGGGCATGGCAGTGAGCGGTGGCTCGAGGCAGTCCATGTGGAACAGGAGGGGGCAATAGTCACACTGGATGAGAGGGGCCACACGGCAGCTCCTGCAAAAAAGAGATGTAGGCCATTTCTGTGGCAAGATGGGAGAATTCAAACCAACTGTGCACTATGGAACAGCCTCTCCTTAATCCTCACAACGTTCTCCCAGGGCCTCCTCCCCCAGTGATCAGTTACACTCAGTTAGGAAGATGGATGAAGTTGGGGGCTACCACCAGGCTCTCCATTATTCTCTAAGAGGAATGTGTCTTGTGGGGAAGTGAATGTTTATTTGGAGTATAGCTAAAGTGGCTGTCAGAGCAGGAATGATCAATGCTTAGTGCCCACAGGGGGGAAGATAGCCAACTCCGCTCTGATTTTTCTACTCCTTAAAAGAAAGTAACTACCTTATTTAAAAAAACAAACAAAAAAAACCCAACAAAAAAAAATCCCTCTAGCCCTGTTTCTAGAGTCTTACACTACAGCAAGAAAGGATTTCTCTTCTGCGTGAAGCACCCAGCAAAAATGACACAGGAAGAGTTGTGTTGGGAAAGAATTCTGTGATGTATTCATGTATATGCACAGTTCAAGGGAGGGGCTTCAGCAAGTAACTATGATATTCCCTGGGTCCCTGAGATGCACTGGAGCCTCAGTCTGGGCCTGGCTCAGAGTTCTTTCTGCTGCCCTACTATCTAGTTCCCTATAGCTTTTGTTGTGGAACCTTTCTTTCTTTCTTTCCTTTTTTTGGGAACATTTCTTTTTGATGGCTATTTTCTCCTGCTATCCTGCCCTTCTAAGATACCCAGGCCAGTAAGTCCAGCGTCAGTAATTGAAGCAGCTGGTTCCCGTCACTGAGGAGATCCTATTTGAAGGAAACCAGTGTCTCAGGGAAGCTACAACTGGGGCAGCCTGGAGGCTTTTGGAAGTCATCCAGTCTGATGCATGTTAGCTACCATGGATACTTGTACTGCTTTTAAACTCATCTTTGGTGATTTAAAAAGTTATTTGCCCTTTCCAGGGACCTGTGTCTCTGCTGGCCACGGTTCCTCCTGCTAGCTAGTCAAAATATCTCACGCTTCTGTTTAAGTCCAACCCCTCCTATTCAAGCCTCTATAAACACAGTCTACAGTACTTAAGGGAATTTGCTGTGAAGACAGTCAAGGCTCTGGTCAATTAGTCACTCAGTCTCTGTACTCATACCATCAGAATATGGGTTATCCACATTTAACAGACAGAGTTTGGGAGAGGTGATGGAAGAGAGAAAAAACCTCATTTGCTGAATATGGGGAAGAGTCTTTAGTATGGACGAAAAATACCTGTTACATGTGAAGCATACTTTGACTGGTAAGGGAACAAGACCATTGTGATCTAACTCATGCTGTGTCTTCTTAACATTTTTTCCCGTGGTTTCCTCCTTTCTTCTCCTCTTGCTAGAACCTAGAAGAGAAATTGATGGTGCTGAACTCTCTTGGATGCAGAGTTCCTAGTGTGGGATATGGAAACAACAATAAGTGAAAGGAACAGATCTCCGTAAAAGCATGTGCCACAGCCTAGACACAGGTCTCTTTCTGAGACCCCCTCGGCTGGTTTCAAATGAGAAAAAAGAATAGGAAGGGAGGAAAAGGAACACTGAGACATAAATCAGAACCATGGTCTGAAGTCACCTGTTCTGTGGCAGAAACACATCTATGTTTTGCAAACATGAAGTGGTCAGAAGCTTAGGCTGTTAGATACTGCAACCTAAGAAATACACATGCCCGAGTCAAATGGTCAACAAAGACTGTTCTGTGGAGGTGGCTGAAGAAAAGACTATAATTTTACTGCATTTTTATAGAAATCAGAAAAGTTTTGATTCTATATACCTCCTGCTGACTGAACAGCATTCTTAAGCCTGCCAATTTCACTTTCTCTGGGAAAAAGAAAATAACATCCGGAAGCTTTGTGGCATCAGGTAGAAGACATGATTAAAGGGGAAAAAAAGGGCAATTTGGTAACATTTTATCAAACTATAAATGCATAGTTGTAACCCAGCAATTCGAACAGTAGGAATTTACCCTACAGATACACAATGTTATATTTACAGAATTATTTGAAGAAGCATCTATAATAACAAAAGATCAGGAACAACCTGAATGTCCATTAATAGGAGATCAGTGAAATAAATTATGTCATGTCTATATGATAGACTATTATGCAACCATTAATAAAAACTGAGGAATGTCTACATTAATATGGAAAGATCTCTAGAGCATACTGTGAGGTGAAAAAAGCAAGATGTAGACCAGTATACCAAATAAGCTATTTAAAGGGAAAATACTGAGCATATTATATTTCTTTGCTTATATACGCACAAAGAAATTCCAGAAGGAGATACACAAGAACCAAACAGTGGTTATCTGAGAGGGATATGAAGGTAGAGATCAGGCAAATGGCAGACAGGGGTGGAAGGGAAATTTTTCATTTTAAGCCTTTTTATATTTTTCGGCTTTTGAACCATGTGAATATATTACCTATATTTTTAAAAAGGGGATACCTTGAAGGGCAGAAAATAGAAAACTGAATAAGCACGGTCAAGGCTAAAACCTTCAAAGATGTCCAGGAAGAACAAAGAACAGGAACATGAGAGTGGCTACTCGCCCGGTGATCCCATAGGCAGTGCTGCCCTCTGGCTGGACAGTAGTCTTTTGGGGCGGCTGGGGTGGGGGGCGGGGACATGACACTTTGGCTAACCTGGAAGTGCAGTGGTACAAGTCAGTTCATTGGGCAACTGAAATTGGGTGGGGTTCCGCTCCATGGCGGCAGCGATCAGCAGCTCAAAGGGCCGCCTTAGCTGGGGCTGCACATAGTCCGGCTCAGCTGCCACTGGCTCCTCGTCCACGTCAATGATGTCCTCGTCGACGTCATTCTGCTCAGAGGTGGGGGTCTCTGTGCTGGCGTTGGATGTGGGCGTGCCAGGCCGGCTGGCTCTCCTCTCCAGGATCCGGGCGTGGGCAATGGCCTTGAGTTCAGTTTTGCTGGCTGATCTGTCCAACAAGTCGGTATCACTGCTGGGAGATGTAGTCCGTTTGCCGGATTTGTCCACCAGTCCATTGACGTGGCCCAGCTCCTTTTTCTGCTCTCGTTTCTGTGCAAATGAACAGGTAGGCCCATCACATAAAGTACCACAAAACAGAAAGAGATGGATACTACAAAGACCACTAGCCAAAATTATGAAATTCTCCAACATGTTACAGACTCATCCACCTGGGGACTTGGAACACTGGTCTGTCCAAGTTGACAAAACTACAGCTGAACTAAACTAAAGCTGGCGAAACTGCAGCAGAGAATCACCAGGCGGCAGGGAAAGTTAGAAACAATTACGCACATTTATCACACATCATTTACTTGAAGTCACCATTTGATGCACACCATCTCTATACAAAGTACAGGGGTAAAGGGATTAAAAGTTACCACAGCGAGAATAAATTTAGTGAGGCTAAGTGAGAACGGTGAGAAAAATATAGCAGGACTCAACATCACTGTAGTTTGCCATGGAGCATCCTGACCTCCTGAATGGGTTTAAGAATTTTGCTCAAAATAAAGTCTGCAAAAGCAAAGGTAAGATAGGCAAACAGAGGTCCCTGTCCAGGGAGGTTGGGTGCTGACAGGGAAAGTAACTACACTGCAAGGTGGTGGGGTTGTGTGTGGAAGGTAGCCACCCAGGGACCACAGTGTCTGAGAATGGTGGCTTTCAGTATTTCAAGTTTTACTAGGATTCTGGAGAGGACACTTCTTCAAATGGGAATGTGGGGAAATGGAAAAAGACTATATTTATTCAGTAGGACTGGACGACTGGTATTACATTTTCCTCTAGGACTCCAAAGAGCAGTCAAATGAAGGTTTAACACTGGTCTCTAATCAGGAGACCCGGGATCTGTCCCAGTTCTGCCATGATTGCTTATGACCCTGGATGACTCAGGTTGGTGGGCAGGAGATTCCCTGTCTGTAAAGTAAGACTAGTAAAACCTTTCTTCTCCTCCTTTCAAAGATATGGTGGAGACAGAGGGTGACATATGTGAAAGGGATGGCTGAGTTGGGGGAAGATCTAGCCTCCACTAGGAACAGGACCTGAACATCAAAGGTTAATGAGGCCCAAAGGATGAATCATTTCAGTCCACTTCAGCGTAACTACAGGAGGCCGAAGAGGGATAGAGGTAGTGGTGGTGGAAAAGGCAGATTTGGCACTGGTAGGCAAAAAAGTCCATGTGGGACATTTGAGAGCATGTCACTGTGGCATTTCGGGGAAAGCACACTACGTTAGAAAAAGGCTACTATAATCCCTATCAAGCAGCTCTGTTTCTAGAAAACTGATGAAGAGGTAATAGAAATTTGGAGTAAGACAATTTGGCTCTGTTAATTCTTTGGAGTCCTCATTCTACATTTGTAAGCCTCAGTTTCTTCCTTTCTAAAATGGAGGTACTATCACCGGCACCCCAAACGGCTGCATGGATTAAATGAGAGAACATATGTAAAATACCCAGCATTTGACGGGCACTAAAATAATGTTAGTTCTTCTTCTCCACCCTCTTTTCCTGGTTTTACTTTTTCTTTCACGTCCAGTTTCTGGAGTGGCAGGTTTCTGAAAGGCCTCCTGGCTGGTATGTGCTTCTAACTGGCTCTGCTCTAACCTAACTGGGGATGCACAGGAAGAGATGCGGACAGGTGGTTAGGCTGGAGGACAGCCTGGTTTGTGGACTTCAGGGGCAATCAAACCATAGCTGGGGCTAACTGGCTGACTTGGCCTTGCCTTGCCTTTTAATAAGAACCCGTGCGCAGATGTTGAAAACTAAAAGTCTGTTTACCTTCTTAAAGGCTGAAAACTGTTACACACATAAACCACAATCTCTGAATCATCTCATCCTGTTTCTGCAACCAAGGAAATCATCATTCATTGTGACATCATGTTCAGGGGCCAGGAAAACAGAAGTGATGTCACAACAAAGGCAAGTTGCTTGGTGTGTGATTAGTGTGGGGGGAGGGAAGTGGATGGTTTACAGTTCATAGACAGATTCTAATTCACAGCCTCTAATTTGAGGATTGGGTCTCTCATATTCTGACTGGAAAAACACCTACTTCCTTTTTTGATAAAGAGGAATTTAGCTTTCGCACCCCACAAAAGTTCTCAAAGTAGAAAATCATGTTCTCAAAGCCAGTACTGAACTACCAAAGCCAAGGGAAGGGGAGCTAAAGAGAGATTAGGCAACCTGGGGTACAAAAGGCTTCCGAGTACTCTCCCACACACCCAGCCAAGCCTTATTTGCCTTGGGGTGAGGGGCATCCTTCTTCCATCAAGCTGGAGAAGCAGCCTTGCTTTTCTTCAGCTACTTTCAGTCAGAGATAGAACTGCCACATTCAGGCCACTTTTCAGGAGGTCTACAACTCCTCAGTCTACTCCTGTCACTAGTGAATGAACATGGCTCAATAAATTAACACACCTCTTCTGCCCATTTCAGCAGCCCATGTTTGGATTTTAGGCCCTACTGGATTCCAAACAGTCACCATGGGGAGAGTGAGGGTGATTCCAGGGCTGGAAAAGACAAGAAGAAGGGACGAAAATGCCTTCAGGGCCAGGCCGTCTTAGCTCTAGAATATCAGTGCTCTAGATCTGGCATTCTGAGCAAAGCCTTCAGAAAGTGCCATTATTACCTTTCGGCGAACAGTGCACCGGTGACACATCCACTCCCCAGGAGGCAACATCTCTTCACTCAGTGGAGGATTACTGTGGGGAAAAGACAAGGGCAAGACTAAGTACTAACCTTTGATGCAGCAGGAAAAAGCCTAGGTAGGTCTGGCACAGAGCTACCTGTCCCTCGATTCCTATTCTGGCCCGTCCTGTAGCACTGCCAGGGCTCTTTCTCTCATCTTTCAAGATGCTAACATGGCATGGTTTACAATAACCTAAAGAGTGAGGACCTACTCCCACATCTTAGGAAGAGATGCCAAATCCAGAGCTCTCAACATTGGGCTTTACAGAGAAAGACAGAAGTAGTCTGGAGCCTTGAGAATCATCCCCCAACTATATCATGCTAATAGAATCATTGATAGGTTCTCTACAGTCTTCAAAGTTTGTAGGTATAAGTATAAGCTCTTTCATCTGCAATTCAAAGCCCTGTGTAGCACGGTCCCATTCTACCTTCCCAGGACCCTTTCAGGTACGCTTTCGCCAAGTCAAATTGAAGACTTGATATTTCTTTCTCTAGAGCCCTTTCCCACTAGAATGCTATGCCTCTTAAACCCTATTAATCCTGTAAGGCTTAATTAAAGATGGCTGCAAATTCTTTGCTATTCCTACCATCTAAAGGTAGGCCATTTCCTTCCTCTTGAATTAGGCTTGACTTGTGACTTGTATTGACTAGTAGAAAGCAGCAGAGGTGACCTATGTTGTAACTTCCGAGGCTGGCTCTTAAGAGACCTGCAGATTCCATTTTTTCATGTTTGGAATGTTCCATCTCAGGGCCCTGCTGTCACGCCAAGAGGCCACACTCAGGAGAGTTAAGGCGCTCCAATTAACAGCTTCCTCTGAATTCCAAGCCAAAAGCCAGCATGAATTACTGCTATGTGACTAAGCTGTCTTAGATCATGCCAGCTTAGTAGAGCCTCTAAAGTACTGTGGTCCCAGACAACACAATGCTGAACAGAAAAACCACCCAGCTGAGCTAAGTCACCACATGGACTTGTGAGAGAGAATAACCAGTGTCTGTTTTAAGCCACTGAGTTTTGGGTAGTTTGTTACACAGCAACATGTAACTGAGTACAGCTCCTCCATGTGCTCTGCCTGGATTACTGGGACCTCCTGGATATGTGGATTGTATGATTTAGTTCTCTTTTGCGACTTCTCATGTTTTCCCTTGTGTGGCAGTTCTCTCTTTTTTTTTTAATGTTTATTTTTGAGAGAGAGAGAAAGAGACAGAGAGAACATGAGCAGGGGAGGGGCAGAGAAAGAGGGAGACAGAGAATCTGAAGCAGGTTCCAGCCTCTGAGCTCTCTCTCAGCACAGAGCCCAATGCGGGGCTTGAACCCATGAACCGTGAGATCATGACCTGAGCTGAAGTCGGATGCTTAACCAACTGAGTCACCCAGGCACCCCCTCTTTTTTCTTTCTTAAGTTTTATTTAAGTAATCTCTACACCCAAAGTGTGGCTTGAACTCACAACCCCAAGATCAAGAGTTGCACACTCTTCTGACCCAGCCAGGCGCCCCAGTTCTTTCTTTTCCCTTTTCTTTACTTTTCTCTTTTCTTTCTTTCTCTATCTATCCATCCATCCATCCATCCATCCATCCGTATATTCAATTTTTTTCTTTAGTGTTTGTTTATTTTTGGGAGAGAGAGAGAGAGCAGGAAAGGGGCAGACAGAGAGGGAGACACAGAATCTGAAGCAGGCTCCAGGCTCCGAGCTATCAGCACGGAGCCTGACGCGGGGCTCGAACTCAGGGACCATGAGATCAGGACCTGAGCCGAAGTCAGATGCTTAACCAACTGAGCCACCCAGGCACCCCCATCCAATTTTTAAAAAGTTAAGCTCTATGCCCAATGCGAGACTTGAACTCACATCCCTGAGATCAAGAGTCACATGCTCTACTGACTGAGCCAGCCATGTGCCCCTCTTATTTTTTTCATTAGAGGGACCAAGACAAGGACTAAATCTCTTCCCACCTTGTAGCTTTATAATACAGAGGTTGTGCATACAGTAGTCACTCAGTCAATACTGAATCAAAATTAGAGCTGTATAGGGCTGGCCTTACTGAACCTCCAGATCACTGATTTCCACTAAAGTTACACCAAGAACCATATGTAGGAGACTTTATTAAATTCTTGAGAGTCACATTTCTAAGTCTGTACAGTAGCAGTTCTCAAAGTGTGGTTCCCAGATCAGAAGCAAGCATCAGTGTCATCAGGGAACTTATTAGCAAAGAAACACAAATTCTGAGACCTCACTTCAGGCCTACAGAATCAGAAATTCTGTTATGGAGAATGAGGATACATTTATGCTAAAGAAATTCTTATATCTGGTTCTAGCAGTCAGAAGGGAGTTTTTCATCCAAAAAAAAAAAAAAAAAGAAAAAAAAAAAGAAATACTAAAAAAATAATTGAGGGCTGAATATATAAGGACTCTTCTTGAAGTCCCAAGGCTTAATATTATGCTTCTCTACTGTTTCTATCTACAAGAGCACTTGGCTTGGCAAATTTTCCTAGCTTCTGCTTTGCCACGCTTCCCTGGAGACCTGAATATACATGTCAGGATATCCACTAAGTCCTCACAGCTCTTTGCTTCCTTTCCTCCCTGTTTCACTGGTGGAATCTCAGGAGATCCTTAGTAGGATGCAGAAAACCTGGAGGCATACTGGCCTGTTGTGACAGGTCTTCAAGCCCATAGGTGAATGTCACCTGTAAAGTCTTCCCTAGTTCTCACCAATGGATTTCTGCATAGGCTACATCCAAACTAATGAAATGTATGCATGTAATTTGCAAAGGCTTACAGACTCTGCTATGCTTCAGCAACCATCATATTAAAATTAACCCTCAAAAGGCTGTCACTTCTGATTCTGTTTTTCATCATTTCTTTTCATCTGCCCATTTGGCTTTGTACCAAGATACTCTTTACCAAACATGTAAAGCAGAGAAGGGCAAGGCAAGGTGGTTTGAATCGAGACCTTTTACTAAGATGTAAATGGCTTCCTGGCCACCCTTCATGATTCCCTCAATCTAGCCCCAACCCCTATTGGCAGAATGAGTTATTGAAAACACAATTCTGATCATATCACCCTCCTTATTAAAAAGCCCTTCAGTATCACCCCTACCCTATCCATTATAGGATAAAGTTCAAACTCCTCAGTATTGTAGGTTAAGACCCTTGTGGCCAGAATCCTGCCTCTTTCTCTAGCTTCATTAACCTGGTGGCTCCCCACACAGTCTATATACCCTTTCTTTAGTCTGTGTGTCTGTTCATTTTGGAGCTGCTACTTACAACCACAAAAGCTGGCCCTTCCCTCATTCCTTCACCCAGTGGATTCTTTATCTTTTGGGGCTCAAGTCAGATATTACAACTCCAGGACGCCTTCTCTGGTAGCCCCTGATTCCCTATAGCACTTCTGTACCACACTGTCCTGAAACTATTATGCACTGGAACCCCCTTCTCTATGATTTACCTTTGTACCTCCACACTCTGCGAGGTGCCTGGCATACACGAAGTACTCAATAAAGCTTTAGAGAACTGGCGAACACTGGGGCATCTGGGTGGCTCAGTTGGTTGCACATCCGACTCTTGATTTCAGCTCAGGTCATGATCTCACAGTTTATGAGATCGAGCCCCACATTGGGCTCTGCACGGACAGTGTGGAGCCTGCTTGGGATCCTCTCTTCCTCTCTATCTGCCCCTCCCCTGCTCACACTCTCTCTCAAGTAAACACACACACACACACACACACACACACACACACACACACACACACACACACAGAACTGGGGAATACTAAAATAGGCTTCTAGGAAGCAAATGAGGCAAAGCAATGCAGTTAGGCAGGCACTTGTTTTGGTGGTTAAATCGCACACAAAATAATTTGTTTTCTAAGTCACGAAATGGTAAGATATCAAAGTCAAAGTCCACACTTGCAAACCAACCTGACTCATTTAAATCCTCTTTAAACAATTTGGTTTCTTGGTTCTTTTTCTTAACACAGGGGTAAATTGCTTAAAGTCTGTATTAAGGGGCTCTTAAAAGTAGCTCCTGGTTGGTTTCTAAAGGATCGATTTTAGAGATACCAACCTTAAGAACACTTGTTTCTCAGAATTCTAGATTATGGGCACAGGCTCCTCTTGTCTGCACTAAAGTGTGTGATAAGGGCTGTGAGTTTAGGGAATAGTACAGAGAAGTCAGAATGTTATTTCCAGGATGAGCACAGAACATTTAAAAGTGAGACCTTGTTGAGATTTTGCTGCTTTCTCAAAGACAGAATGCGCATCTTGAAATAAACTTGAAAATGTGGCATCTTTTTAAATGTTTATTTATTTATTTTGAAAGCAAGAGAGAGGGAGAGAGTGCACGAGTCATGTCAGGGATGGGTAGAGAGGGAATGCTAAGCAGGCTCCAGGCTGTCAGCACAGAGCTGGACTCAGGACTAGATCCCACGAACTGTGAGACGATGACCTGAGCCTGAGCTGAAATCAAGAGTCGGCTGCTTAACCGACTGAGCTATCCAGGTGCCCCGAAAATGTGCTATCTTGAGAGAAGGCAGTAATATATGATAGGATGGATAGGGAAGGAAAGTCTATGTTTCTAGAAAATGAACATCACAGGTACACCCGGAATACAGAAACTGCCCACGATAAAGCTTTCTCATGACAATGTTTCCTCTTTGCCCCTAATAAGTCCTTTCAAGCTAATATTTAGAAGGCAGTTTTTCAACTCAAATATCTAGAGCAAAAGGGATTCATGAAATGGATCCAGGAAAGACAGACTGTCACTGGAGTAATAAGCTCAGGAACTAGTTCCGAAAGAGGCTGTTGTGCAGACAGACTGGTTTGATTCGCTATCAGAAATTTTGCCAACAGGGAGAGGATTCCAGGGAGAAAGGAGATTCTGCAGCTTCAAGACACCCATGTACATAACACATTCTGGAGACTTCCCCATCTCAGCTGCCCATCTTAAAGCTCTTTCTCCCATAAGAATGGTGTTCCCATAAGTTTAGTGTGCAACTTTGAAACGATTACACGCCTACCAG